TGAGTACAAAGAGGTTACGTGGTTGGTCAAATTGACTGAGCCCATGTCGAGAGAGAGAGACTAATTTTGTTTGAAGATGTTTTTTTTTTAAACTAACCAAATTCAGTTGGAAAAAATAAATTCCTGGATGATGAACTGAACTTTTATAATATACATTATGATCATCACAAGTATTTTGCTCATATACATAAGCTTCACATTTCTGCATACTGTATATTTAAAAGAAATATTGGCATATTAGTTAAATTGATCAAGCATTTTCTTTTACAGAACAAGACGAAGAAGCAAGTACAGTTACAAACCTTATACCAGAAAACAACAGATTGTATAGATAAACTTGAGAAGTTTATTTGTGAAGTCAAGGACCATTCGTGATTTTTTCCACAATTTATAGATAAACAAACTATGATTCACTTTGTGTTTGAATGGGGATTTCCTTTTTTATTTTAAATATCTTTATTTTGTGTTGTGGTTGAGTTCATAGTGCAGAACATTTTATGTATAGATGCATATGAATGATAAATATATAAAAGAAGTCTTAAAAAAATTATCATTCCTATTCCTTATACAGTATTCTTGTACTAAATATTTTAGAGTTATTTTTAAGGTTACATTTTAAATTCAGTATGATACTTAGAAAGCATTGATGTCTAAGCATTTCTAACAGACCTTTTTCCTATGAAGTGTAAAATGTGCTAACCAGAACTAAAGTAAAAGCAATTAGTCTAATGAGCAAAATATATTGTTTGCAAATCCTTGACCATCCTTATTATCTCGTATATACGGGTTGTTTTTCCTATGAACTTTGCTTTCCAGCTATGTCTATTAAGGAAAGTTGTTTTTGATACACTAGGTTTGTGCCAAATAGTATAAAAATGTACTTACTACTTCATAAGTAATGTTGTTCAAATTCTTAGGAACTGACAGTAATAGCCATATTTTTTAATACCCCTGTTGATCAAAGCTAATGAGAAAGCATTAAGAGTTTAAATGTTGCCATTGCATTTCTTGAATAACTGTGAAGCTGGTTTTTTAAGTTGGTCTTTTCATTTTAAATAAATGTATCTTTATTAATGTATAAATAGAAACTTGTATGTACACAGATTAGCCACTTTATTAATGCATTCCAGTTGATATGAGGATGGCCAACTTTTTTTTGCTACAATAATAACCTTAAATTGTATAGATTTCACAAGATCCAGGGAGGTATCTTGTCTAATAATAATCCATTTTTTTCCAAAGTATATGTATACTCTGCAATTAGCTGACAATTGTTGGTAAGGGGGACAAGTACAATGTTTTAGCTCATTTTAAGGATGCTTAGCAGAAGTTACAATTGGCAGTGGTGCTGGCCAAGGTATGTCACAGTCACCTATTTTGAGAACAAGCTTCATAAAATACTCACACAATAGATGGAAGACCTCTTGTCTAACAGGATATTGTGTGATAAACATGATGAGTAACAGTGCTCAAATATGTACTGAGTGCTATTGACCCACTATTCACTGCCATAAGAATGCATTTCATCTACTACACTACCTCCAACAGCTTTCATTGTTGGAAGAGCATAATAGAGTCAGGCATTTCATGTAGTTTTTTTCCATATGTTAACCTCATTGTCAGTACAGAAGAATGGGAAGCTACATTTCAGCAGACATCATACACTGCCAATTATTAAATGGTCACAGTTTGCACTCTGAGAAGAGAACCATTAAAGCCTTTCCTATTTGCATCAGTGTAAATATTTTTTAGTGATTTATGGATGCCATATGACAGGTTATGTAATTTATTTTGCATGTTAAGGTTGCAGTTAGCTAATTTCTGACTACTGTCAAAGGTATTGGTTATTGGAATGCAGTTTAATGTATGTTGTTGCTCTTTCTCTGACTATTCCATTGGTTTTTCCTCAATAGGTCCATACCAGTTTGTGACTACAGTTTTGTCTAGAACCAGTTATTTTTTATTGTCACTCTTAATAGACTAATTAAAAGATGTCTGAACAACTGTGCAAAAAAAAAGGTGTTTAATAACACTGTTTAATAACAGTGTTGCTGCTAGACATGCCTATTTAAAAGTCAGAAAGATTCCTGTTCTCACCAGCTATCTTGCAAGTTAATCATATTGTGACTATAACATAATCAGTCTATTTTGTATACACAAATAAATGGTGTATTGTGGGTGTTTATAATAAATTGGCCAGTCAGTGTAGTTTTGAAAATAGGAATACCCTTACTTCTTTTATCATCCAACTGTACTATAAATGTATTAGAAGTTCTGTGGTAAGACCAAAGTTTTCCTGTAGACATTTTTTGTAATAATATTTGAGGATTTAAAAAAAGTATATTCTTGAATATAGTATATATTATATTTACTTTCGTATTGTGAATTGCTGTAGTTTATCAACTCCAAATGTATATTTTCCCCCTTTCCAAGCACAATATTTATAATGATTTTTAACACATTAGTATTTGCTGCAAGTAAATGCAAAATGAAAGCTTAATTTCATTGTGTGTGTGTGTGTTTTTTAGACAGTGACTTTACTTCCTGTTCTTTCTAGTTATTTATATACAAACACACACACACACACACCAAAAGAGTAACATACAATACTGATCTGTTGCAATCATTTAATGTTAGAATATATTAGACATTGCAATAATGTAACATCATTTTTATTTAAACATACAAAGTTTCTAATTTCCCAAAAATTTACCATTTTGTTTTTTATTAATTTGGTAATTTTAAGACGTTTGTTTATAGTTTGTAAGACATTGACTTTCACTATGATTTTGACTTTTAATGTATTAAAATAATATATTTTTACTAATTCATATTTTTAAAACGCGTGCCATGGTATTGTGACTTCTACTATTAAAAAAAAAAAAGACAAGTTTTACTCTTTCCACATTATTCAATTTTAAGTGTTTATCTTTGATATCCTAATTTTAATATAAAATCCTTACAACGGGGCACTTGCTAAAAATATTAAGGTGTGTAAATTGTATTATCTAACAATCTTTGGTGAAATTATGACAAATTTTAATAGTTAAGAGATTTACTAAATGTAATAAAAAATTTATAAATGTTGTACATTATAACAAATGTTTTTAGCTTAAGTTTTAATGATGATCAATGTTGTGCTGTATTAAATATTAACCTTAGGGTCAAGTTTTTTATCTTACAACTAAAAGTAAATTTATACATGTAGTTTTTTTATTGAGACATACTGTAAATATTTCAGTAGTTATTATTGGTGTACAGTTACATGTTGCATGAGAAAGAGTTAACAAAAATTAATTTTTTTAAAAAGTCAAAATACCGTGTTTAGTGGGTACACTAAAATCCTACTAATGTAATAGGAAAAAGGTAAGCCTAAAAAAAATTATTAAAGAGAATGGACAATGATTGCTGATTCAGTCTGGGAACTTATGATTAATTACATCTGAACTAACTTTGATGTTGAGTTTGTTGTCCCTTAATTTGCTTATCAATGTTAAAATAACCTACTTGTCAACTGTGTCACATGTCTCAGCATTCTTATTTTTAAGCTTATGGAATAGTCATTTTGTGGTTTTGCTATATATTTTAAAATGATCCAACAACCTTGTTCTCATTTATTCTCTGTCTGCTGAACCTTGGTGTAGTGGGCTTTAAAATAATTGCTCATGCTAAATGTCAGCATGCCCTGTAACATAAATAATATTTAAAGTAATTTATAAGTAATAAAGTGATCTCCAGTTTATTCTTGGATGTGCGTATATATCACTAAATGAGACTAGTTTTAGGTAATTCCACAGCTCATCAGTAACCATGAACAAGGGTAAACCAAAGTAAAAATCAAGACCCTTTGTAGTGTAGTTTAGTAGAATTCTATTCTGAATGAACAAAAGAAACTGGTTGTCTTTTATACGGATTGTAAGTGCTGAAAAGTTTATTATGTGTGAAATGCCTTATCAAGAAAACTTTTGTTATTGTAGCTGATTATTCCAGAGTTTATAACTTTTTAATCAACCATTTGTGTAAAGTGTCTGTGGCAAATGAATTTGATTTAGTAGTTTTTTTTATTAACTGTCACATTGATATTATTTATCAAATAAGAACAAAGTACTTGTTAAGAAAATTGAAAATTTAATTGGGTCATTATTTTGTTCTGTAACTAATATAGATGTTTTATCACATGAGTTGTGTGCTATTTTAGAGTTATAAAAATTGACATGCAAGATCAGAGTAAAATTAATTTTTGGACTTTAAAATTAGGAAATTCAAACTATTTTGTTAATTTCTTGCAACTTCCTCCTGTGTTTTGCTACATCTAGATGTTATCCAATTACAATGAAACTTTACATTTTTGTGCATTGTTTCAAACTGTCTTTCTCTAAGGAATTACTTAACTAATCAAATCTAATATGATGAATACTTAAAGAAAGCTTAAGTATTCTTTATTTCTAACCTTACACTGTTATTTTTGATAGCAGTATAAAAAATTTAATATAGTTGATTCCAGAATAAACAAATTGGACAGTATATCATCAAACATCAAGTGACTGACACCAATTTTTAGTCTTTATTTGTGGATGTGTCAAAAGCAATGATTCTTGGAATATTCTAATACATAACTACAGTATTTTTATAATAGAACTTACTGTTTTTACATTCGATCGGTAATTTATGACGGTGATTCCTCCCAAAGTACCTCGGTCTGAGGGCTTATAACACTAAAAATCAGGTTTCGATACCTGGAGTGGGCACAGCACAGATAGCCTATCATTTAGTTTTGTGTTTAATAATAAAACAAACAAGTAATGATGGTATCTCAGTAGACATGAATATCTATTTAGTTTATAAAATAGCTCACACTGTAAATATTAAAATAAGATGTATATTTTAACTCAATATCAGTGTTTGCGACGTTTGACTAACGCAATTATTTTGTAATTTTTTTTTCCTCATTCTCACTAACATTTTTAGTTTGGTATACTTAGACTTGCCCAGTAAATAGGTGTTTATATCATGGTATACAAAGTCTTACATAAAACATAGCATGATGTTTTGGCATTATGCTTGTATCTTGAAGAAAAACCAATTAAGCTGTTCAAAATAATTACATAAACTGTGCTGTATCTGAATTTTTACAATTTTAACCCATTTCAGTTATTCAGCAGCTAGTCTTCCATCAATATATGTATCTAAGTAAAATAATTCAAACTGCCACATCACACATTTTATATTGATATCATAAGGTTTTCACTATTATATGAGGAAGCCAAATATAATATACATACATAGTATGTAAAGGTTGAACTATTTCTGCAGTGTACAATGTGTGTACCCATAATGTTGTGAAATGGAACCAATCATAACTGTGAAGCTGTAGGTAAATTTTTAGTTACTTCAGTTATGATCAGGTAAATATCTTTCATAGCTTATTTATTTGAAAAGTATTATACTACTAGTATTATACATATCTACACATTGCTACTTGCATTGGCATACAGGTTGTCCCAGAAGTCTGGACTTGTAGCCAAAATAGACGTTATATTATTAGAGTTAAACAAACACATTTCTAATGTCAGTTGTACATATTTCAGGAAAAACAATACCCTGATGGCACAGTATACCAAGAACTGATATGTGTATGGCTGTTAATGGCATGCAATTTGAATAATAAATAAATTAAGAATTAGTTATGTATTTTTTTCATTTGGATCCAGACTTCTGGGACACTCTGCACATGCTTCAATTCAAAATTAGTAAGCAATTGAAATTTGGAGTTTCATGAATGAAAAACTGCTATTATTCTTGCATTATAGTGGAAAACAAGTTGAGACATTTAGTAGGGTACAACACATTCTTAGATGATATGGTTGTAGCTTTTTTCCTTCTTTTTTTCATTTTTGAGAGTTCTAGTAGTGATGATTTTTTTAGGTGAATTCCTACATAAATACTATTTGTATAAGAATCTGTATTGTTGCTATTCCTTTGTATAGCAAAAGTGCCTGAAAATGAGCATTATCTAACATCTTACAACTTTGAAATTTAACAAGGAAAAAAGATATGTAGGTTCTGTTGCAGATGTGAAATCTTTTGTAAAACACATAAGTGACTCTAATGTGAAAAACATTTGTGTTCTGCTCTTTTAGTCACTGAGCTATTCCTGTAAACTTGCTTGTATACTTGTCCTGTTTATGTAATATTTGGACCATAGGAACAGTGCCTTTCTTTTTATCTTGTCCAAAAGAAATTGTAGTAAATGTTTTATAGTTTTAACTTGATTTTTCTCTTCTTATCAGGCAGCTGTCTTTATTTGTGTGGGTTTGTAAAATTCAAAACTTATTAATTGCAATAAATAAGAGATTTGAAAAAACTCTGAGGCATGTACCTGTTTTTGTTTGTGAATTGAAATTATTTCTATGAGAATTTAAACTGAGTAGTGCAGTGAAGAGAGTTATCACAATGAATTATAATTTAAGTTGTCAGTTTTATATCATGTAAAACTGAACCCATTGTAGTTTAATCGTATACCACTAATAATCATTACAGGTGATTTTATTGTCACCTTCATCAGCTAGGTATGAATAGATAAAATTTTCTTTTCAGTGTTTCTTCAACTACTTAACCTTCTCTTGTATTCTATCTAAAATACCTTAGTTAATTATGTATAGGTGTAATAAACTTGGCATGTAGACTTGCATGATCTGACACTAGCTATTTCTGCCAAATGTGTTTTTCATGTTCAGTTTTATTGCTTAAATGAATCTAGATGTTTGAGCTACATGTAGCCTGACCTGTTGAGCCACTAATGATATTAATTAATGGTCTATTGAATTTTCACAGGATTAAGTGAAACGTTCTGATAAACAAGGTAGAACCCATGTAAATCTTTTTGTTTATGTCAGTCTGGAAAGCATGAGAAGTTAGTGGAAAATAATATTCTGAACAACTGTAATGCTGTTGAGAGTAAAGAATTATCTTGTACATATGCAGAATATACCGAACTAAAACATTTCTAGATTACAAAGTAGACCATAATTTTTACTATTTTTTTATTCAGCCACCTTTGCATTGGCAAAAGAAATTAATTAATTCCACATATAAACAGGTACATCAACCACAAGGCAAAACCAAAAATGCAAACAACTCCAACAAGAATGAATAAGGTTTTTAAAATTCATGTGTCTCTTTCATGTATTCCATTAGTCAAAGAAATAGTTTATTTTCTGTTACTTTAGGTTAAGTTTAATTTGGTAATATTAGCTGTTCATAATAAATAAACATTATAAATGTAATTGTTTGATGATACACTCTCTGTACTTGTTTCCCTGAGCTATACTGATACCTCTCTTGAAAGCTACTTATATTAGCTATTTAGCACAACAATTAATCCTGCTGGAAAAAAAAAAAGTTTAATTTTTGTAAATGTTTGTGTAAACTGTGATTTTACTTATCTGCATGTGTTTTCATATTAGTTGGAAAAAGGAAATTATTACTTCACTACTTTTCCAGTTAGTCATACTAACTGTCAACCACAAGCTCAGCCAGCCAAATTACCAATGAAAATTTACCACTTTGTTATTAAAGTATTTATGAATAAGGACCAAACATATAATAATGATTCTTTGAGCCTCTATTTTTCAAATTGTACTCTTTTAAAGGTTTGATCATGATGCTTGAAGGTAAACATTGTGCTCAACAGGTTTCTTGGTAGTAAAATATTTTATCTGTGGATGTTTATTGATACTTTCACATTATCAAAGTATTTTTTGTTTCCCTTTGGTAGTTTTTTCTTTGTCAATGAAGAAATAGTATATGATCAAAATTCCACTTTTCAGTTCCACAAAAAACAACAAATTCTGGTATATTTTGCCTTTCACTTGAAAAAGTAATGATATTTGAACAAGAATACCGTAAGAGTTAATCAGTTTTAAATAATAAAAGGGTTAAAAGTGAATGTTTTAATAAATGCTTTTCTGAAAACATAATTTCGAAATGATCCACTTACCTTTATGCACACAGTAGCTATTTCTCTTACACCTGCCGTTGAGACTTTGTATATCACTAACCTTGAATTATCTCTCACCCACATCACGCATTTTGATGAGAACTGCACTAGTACATGATTTCATCATCATGTGGCAATAAACCCTCCACCAATAGGAGGGAAATGCATCCTCCATGCACAATGGACCACCTTAAACACTTGCACTCAAAATTAACTTTATTCTTGAACTCAGTGTTGCCATTATCAGATATGTTTAATTTTAAAAGATTTTGCACAATCTTTGCATATATAGGTTCAAAGAATTGGAAGAACCTTAGAAGAAAAGCTCATGACCTAGAAATTCGATTATGGTAACATATAGAAACTAGTTGATGCACAAAACTGTTTGAAGTACAGGCAAGAATATAGAATAATCTCCGTTTGCAAGGTTGAAAAACAATATAAACCGTAACCCTAACACATCTAGCAGTTTACCACAATTCAAAAATAAACAAAAGTGAAAAAGGAATTTTAAATCTCACTTAAGTCAAAAGTTAAGAATGTTCATGCACTGAAAGAAGAAATAATCAGCAATACAGTAACTACTCTATTAAAGAATACTGAATCAAATCAATCGTTAAAAAAAAAAATCCGAGAACATTTCCGAGCAGTTCTACACTATAATTTTAAAGTTCCTGCAGCTTCATTCTCACAAGACTTTAGCTCTGTAAAGTCGAAACTTCATCTGGAATGAGACAAGGTTCAGTGACCTCTATTATAGTTGTTTGCAAAACACTAGATACTATACAACATAATGTCTTGAAACCTCTCACAGCTTTTACCATATTTATGGCTGCTAGAGGTTCTTTGTCTGAAAGATGCTACTACCATTTTCCACCATTTCGTGATTTTTCCTTCCTTCCCAGTTCCTTAATTTCCTATGTGTTATTCCTTAGCCCAACCACAAGGTTTACTTTTTTGCCCAGCTATTTCTGCATCCTGGTTTTATTCTAACCCCATTCTCTGTTGAGGAACACATCATTATTCTCTCTCTTTGCTGCATGGGTCGAGTTTTGTGTTTCTTCACAATATTTATTCTATGCTTTTATGCTATAGTTTTATTCTTTTTCCCTTCAACATTGTTCTCACTCTTCCCTTTCTTGTTCTCCTCATTTTCATGATTCATTTATCATGGTTTATGTTCCCTACTCTTCTGCTTTCTTGAAATCTCAATACCTGGAATCCCTTCTGCCTGCTTGGATGCTGACTCATGGTCACCAGTATACTTTACCAAGGCCCACTTTTCCCGTTTTTGCCTTTGCCTTGGTCTATCCATTCACTATCTGTTTTCATGTTATATTCAATCTGAGGCCTTTCACCAGGATCCAGATAGATTTTCTGGAGTATCTTTGGTTGATCCTTTTCCACACTTTACCAAAGTCTCGTCTTTGGCTCTTTCTCTCTCCTAAGATGGTTTCCGTGTAGTTGAGATCTCTTCAGATGTAACATCCTTTTTTTTGTAGTTCAACCACTTCAATCCTCTTTATGTAGCTTGCTTCCAATAATTTACCATGAGATCTTCCTTACACCTTAGAGTCTCAGGCAGAAGCTGTTTGACATAAATTTATTTCGCTTCTATAGTCTCCACTCTTGCCTATTTCCATGACTACCTTCATGTTCCCTGGTCTGTGTACTCCTGTCTTTTCTCATATTTTATCTTCTTGTCCCTTTACTTTCTCTTGCCACCCACCTTCTGTCAGTGACTATCTCTTTTATATTCAGTTGGTTTGAGTCATCTTTGCTAATCATGGACTCCTTTCACAGCCAAGTACTGTATCACTCAGGTTCTTACACAATCTCTATTCACTTCTTTTCTTCCTCCCTTTCCTAATTGTTTTCCCTTCACCTTTAGATCCTCAGCACCTACACTGTCTCGGTTTTAAATGTCATAGGGTGTCACTTACCTCTCTCTGGGTTAGTATTCCTGTTTCTTCACTGACCTCTTGAATCCTGGTTACTGACATTTCTTTATTATACTTCTCTGAACCAGTCCTGATTATTCCCCGATTTCAGGTGAGGGGGTTTCTTCCTCTTAATTGATTGTTTTCCATCAGCTTTTTGATGAAGAAGATCCATGTCTCAATTGCATTTCTTCACATTCAAATAGTTTTGTTATTGCATCATTTTTGTTTGTTTGTCCATCATGATACAGTATAGTGGTTTTGGGCTTAACCCTTTGGCATGGCTTTTGCTCCTTATATCACAGAAACCCGCAATCTGTATCATGTGCATGAATGATTAATGGCATGAAAGGAGAAAAATATCCAGAAAGAGACCTGCAACAAGTCGTACCTCAACTAAAGGAAGCAAAGTGTGGCATCGTGTAATAGGTGATAATCAACGACCACAAGTGTCAGTGGGAAAGGCCGTCCACGTGTCCTAGGCAACAGTACACAGCATAATCAAAAAGGATCTCTATCAGAAAAAGCCACTGAAGTTGTTTCCATAGCGTATTTGTCTTAGCTCAAGCAGTTGTAGAAGGAAACAACTATTCGTGCTATTCCAGAAAAAACACCAACAGTGGTCAAGTAACTGGATACAGCATCTATGGATTGCTGTGTTATTGTACATTTGAAAATGTTGCTTATCACTGAGGTACCAACTGTTGCAGGTCTCTTTCTGGATGGTCTTGGTGCCCCAAGCTGATCAGTATTCCTTTGTGTTCTCTCTTTGAACACATCTTTATGATTCAAGTGTGTGAATACTTCGTGTCGGAAAGTGGTGTTACAGACCTTTCCCAAAAGTGATAAATTTTCGGTGGCATCACACCACCTACGTAAAGTAAAACAAATGTAGTCGCTTTTCAACCTTCCACCACGACTTAATATTAGCTGTGGTTATCATGTTTCTTTCTGATTTGCAAAGGCAAAAATTATTTAATATAAGGCACCCAAGACAACAAGATATGTTTATTTTCCACTTAGTTTTGAAATAAACTTTTGCCAACTCATTACAGAGACGTTACTATTTTAATACTGTCATTACTGTTATGATTTTTTTTGTTCAAGGGTAATCAATGTATCTAAGAATCCACAACAGTATCGATGAGAAAATTTATTGTATATACTGTTTGAAATGCTGCTTCGAGACGAAGCCCAATTCTAGGCACAATTTGGTCGATTGTGTTGCTGTTTAGGCTAGTCTCACACATATTAGAAAGGGGGGGGGCGAGACACCTATTATATGTTTTCAACACGATCTTTCACGCACACATTAGCAACTAAATTTATTATGTGTTTGAAGTTACTATATAGTGCGTGAAAAGCACAACATACCTACTTGTGAAGAGAACAAGGAACTTATTAAACTGTAGTTAAATAAAAGACAATGGAAGAACTGACCTGATTCCCAAGGAGGGCGTTAGCAGGGTTAATGGGAGGAGAAAGAAATCATTGTAAGTAGTTTCTATTGTTTAAATATCTAACAGTTTCACTTTCACTGATAGAGAAATAAAGAGTTTCTGTAAAAAAATAATACAAATAAAAGTTATATTGTTTGAAATATAATACGAAAATTATAAAAATAAATAGTTAATATTGATGCGTATCAGGTCGTTTGTTAATTTCCGGTATAAATTCTTCCCGAGGAACTTCAGCGATATAAGTCCTTTCTTAAATAAAACTAGTTTATTCTTTCTCAATACAACTTTGCAATACATAGAATTTCAACAGTCACATTAGCTTAAACACACGCTATAATTCACAACGATTCACGCACTTTACTTACGGTCACTACCGCTCGCTTGATTCAATTATCTGTCATATCTCCGCTTTATTTGTCAGGCTTACATAAAAAAAAGAGGGCGCCTAGAACAGACCAGAGTTGCCAGGAAAAGTCAAGATCCTTCGAGAATCTCATGACGTGTTACCATGGTCACGTGACTTCCGCTGTCGTAACTATTTAATATCAGTCTGGATTGTATTAAATTACGAATTACAAATAATATTTTGCTATTACATTCTTCATGTATTTTTGTTTAAAGAAACCATGTTAAAAACTGCAATTTAGTTTTTGCTTTTTTTGACTATATTCATTGTTCAGAACAGGGATTCCCAACTATTTTGTTCCTCTGTACCCCTTGGGCATTCTCTCTCAAAGCACTAATGGTGCGAGGAGAGCTTGTCCAGTTGGCTGATCTCTAGTTTATCAGCTGATTTGTAACGAGGGTGTTCTATATTGCTTATGTTCTACGTTACTTATTGAAAGCATGAGCTATAATGTAGCACAGCAATAACATCACAAAGTTCACCAAGATCACGGCTTTTTGTCTAAAGAGCGTATATTTATGTGAGCCATTTTGCTCTCTTTGTCTGACTGTAGATTAAAACACCATGTAAAGTGTAAACCATGGTTATACTCTCAGACCCCTATGTACCCCCCTGAGAAGTGCAAATAGGTTGGGAATGTCTGGTTTAGAATGTTACCATAATCTAGGTTCAACTGAAACAAACAGCATTGATCAAGCCTTACTGACTGGATAAATTTTATTTGTTACAATACGCCCTTCAAAGAGTTTTATTTTCATCCAAAACGATACCAAATCATATTATATGGCTGTATAAATACAACAAGAAACCTATATACTCTAATGTGCCAGCAAAGAAAAATAATACACGCAAACGTATCTATCATATTTCATTTTTACACGTATTTCTGTGACGGCCTGCTTGTCAAATGTCGAGAAATAAATGTTAGATACATGCTTAAAAATATGCAATTTTTGCTCTTTTTTTTTGTGGTTGTAACAAACGAATATTCAGTTGCTTGTTTGTTTGTTTTGAATTTCGCGCAAAGCTACACGAGGGCTATCTGCGCTAGCCGTCCCTAATTTAGCAGTGTAAGACTAGAGGGAAGGCAGCTAGTCATCACCACCCACTCCCAACTCTTGGGCTACTCTTTTACCAACGAATAGTGGGATTGACCGTAACATTATAACGCCCACACAGCTGAAGGGGCAAGCATGTTTGGTGGGACGGGGATTCGAACCCGCGACCCGCATATTGAGAGTCGAGCTCCTTATCCACCTGGCCATGCCGGGCCCTATTCAGTTGCACTTGTGAAGAATTGTGTAACGGCTAATAAATTTAAAAGTATTGAAACTGTACTCATCAAATTTGTGCATTTTTTTTATTATTATTTAATAAATCATTTCGAAAGGGTTTAGTTGCATTGAGCCAAATCATAAAAGAAAGTACTGAAAAAAATTATTAAAAATACACACACATATATAAACAAACAACTTTTAATTTTCTTAGGTATTTTATATGAAATTAAGCAAAATTTCTTACATTAGGTGAGTATTCGATACGTTTTGTAAAATATTAAAACACGAGTCAGAGGCGTCGCTATAGGTGCTTAAAAGATTCAGGCCCCCCTGTGCCATTGCCTAATGACGCCTCTGACACGAGTAAATGATGTAAACACTCTCCTATTTCAAAAGACGTTCATTATTTGTAGCTTCCAATAAAAATGACCATGCTCAAGTAACATCTATCCAAAAACTACGGGTCGTCTTCGTTCGTTTGGTATATGTTTTAAAGGCGGCCGTGGTAGAGCAACAGCACAAACTTTGGAACATCCATTATCACAACACTTTTTGGTCCCCGGGCAGTCTTCGTCATTTTCGCAGACATTTAATACTGGAGAGAGTGTGCACGTATTTAGTCTTGGGTCGCTAACTGGACAAAATCCCTCTGAAAATAACCAATAAACTTTATATTAGTCAAATTGCATCTATTCTAATGAAATCGATTTAGAAATACGAATTTTTTATTTTTATTTAATGTTTCACTTTCAAACGCAAGCTAGAAATGACTTAGTGGGTAGCATGTCGGATTGTGAATCCGAGGGTCCATGGTTCATGTCCCGTTGAGTTACTGAGTACGTTATAAAAGTGACAACCAAATCGCACTATTGATTAGAGTACAACAAGCGTTGGCGGTGGGAGCTGTTGACTAACTGCCTTCCGTCTGGTCTATCAATTTAAAATTAGGGTTGAGCCTGGTGGTTAAGGTGGGGGTGTTATAATGTGAGAGTTAGCGATTGGTGGTGTGGACTAACTGTCTTTTCTCTAGTTTAGCACTTCATAGTAGGCCGGTTAACACAAATAGCCATGGAGGAGCTTGGAGCTTGAACAAACACTCACCCACCCGGTTGCTTAACTGCAAGTTTGAGGGTATATAGTTCAAAATTCGAGGCTATGATCCCTGCGGTGAGCATATCACAAACATCTTTTTGTACAGCTTTCTGCTTAATAACAAACAAATATTTGATCACTGTGTGCAAGTTATTATTCTGTAATATCAACAAACCCAAAATGATATTCTTTGCAAGAGATACTTTTGTTTTTTCCCCTCAAAAATACATACTTTATTTGATGATGCAAAATGTTAGTGTGTAGAAATGAGTCAAATGTTCATTTTCAATATAATTAAAAAGAAATCATATCCTACCCATATTGCTTAGTGTTCAACCACTATCTCATTGTTCGGTTGATTATCAGATATACAATAAAACGCAGAAAGACGCACGTTTTACAACATTCCAAACTCTCATGTCGGTGCTCTAGAGGAAGACATTACGTGTCCACGTTTGTGTCCATTATGTGTCCACGGCAGTGGAAGAGTTAATGAAAAGAAAGAAGGAAATGTAATATTAATGTCTAATTTTTATAAGAAACATATTGATTATATTTCAACCAGAATACATTTGTATAGTCACTTATTTGTTTCAAGTGGTTTTTGATCTTGTTCATTGAATTTCATAAGGATTTCCTCAAACATGAACAAACGTACTTCTTCTGGCAATGAAAGGCCCATAGTAAACTAATATGGTAATAAGTTGGCAAACAACGACTTATAAGCATAATAAAGTAATTTCTTTTTGGGAGAACATACAACATGTTTCGACAGGATATTGATCTATCTTTTTTTCAGGAACATACTAAATGTTTCAACAGGACATTGGTCTGTCATACCTGAAGAAGACAGATCAATGTTCGTGGAGACATGTAGTATGTTCCCCAAAATATATATATCACTTTATTATGCTTATAAATCGTTGTTTGTCAACTTATTATTACACTAGACTTATGAGCTTCCATATCTAAATAAACTCGTATGGTATAATGGAGGGTGCAAATATGAATTACAAATTTGTTTATTTTTTATGTTAATATTATTATTTTCAATTATGTTTTTTTTCTTCCTTTGAAAACACCACACCCTTAACATGCACACCATAAAATATTTATTAATGAATATGGGATATAAAATTAGTAAATTCTTCATATGTTTACATACAAAGTAATTTGAATGTCTTCTTTTTCTCTTGAAGACACCGAGATTTTCTTATTAAAGAATATTAGCACACAGTGATATGAAATTTACAAATGTGTGCATGAGTAAACGACACACAGTCATAATATACAGTAGCACAATTAGCAATTTGATATCACAAATTAATGCAGTGAGAATGTTTCGGTAACGTGGTAACATGAGATCTTATGATGATCACTACGCTCTTTGAAACTCTGAGTTTAATTGATGTTATCTCGACTCGTACTCTGAGGGTCGCGGGTTCGAATCCCCGTCACACTAAACATGCTTGCCCTTTCAGCCGTGGGGGCGTTATAATGTGACGGTCAATCCCACTTTTCGTTGGTAAAAGAGTAGCCCAAGAGTTGGCGGTGGGTGGTGATGACTAGCTGCCTTCCCTCTAGTCTTACACTGCTAAATAAGGGACAGCTAGCGCAGATAGCCCTCGTGTAGCTTTGCACGAAATTAAAAAAACAAACAAACAAAAACTAAAAACCTTCTACTAATTACACAATATTATGCGACTAAATGGTTTTAAAAAAATCGCTCCTCTCAGGGTCGGATCCAGGATTTTTAAAGGGAATTGATATCGGAGAAACATCCAAGAAGGAGAGTTTGAGAGGAGGATTGCCCCTCTCCATGAGAAGCTGGAGACTTTTTGAAATTTGAAATCTCTCTGTAGCCAGTTCCTGATATTTTTCTTCTGGAAATTAGCGATAAAAATTCTGAATGACCAGTACTTTCTGCGAACATCAAGAACATCCTTGCCTTCATTTGTGAAGATGATTGTTATAATCGGGATCTTAAAGTTACCTGGAATCAAGTTATATCACTGATGGACTAGAGAGAGAGGGATGGACAGTTTGATAGTCATATCAATGAAAAGTGCTCCTTCAAAGATCGACCATAATATTTTTGGGAGAAAAGATCTTTTACGCCTGTCTTTAACTTTATAAACGTTATAGGCGATCAAGACCCATTTTAAATACAGAAATATGAGCAAAAAATGTCAATTAAATTTTTTACCTTTTTATCTGATATTTTTGCACTGGAAAAAGGGGTCGGACACCCTGGATCCACTCCTGTGCCAAACATTTAGCTCACTGTGTTAGCCACTGCTCATTAGCCAACTATAATCGGATTGTACAATATTAAATGTGAATAAGTAATGTTTTTAAAGCTTATTGTTTCGTAATTTGTATCCTAATCAGAGCACAAAACAGAACTTTATCGCTTCCTTTCGAAAGATGATGCTTGCTACATTAAAACTTAATTCCAGTGCATTGAATGTAAAACTTCTGGCTTGGAATAATAAAGAATGCATGGTACTTGGTATTTATATCCTGAACATCACCTTATGCGACACGTGCATGGTACTTGGTATTTATATCCTGAACATCACCTTATGCGACACGTGCATGTTACTTGGTATTTACATCCTGAACAACACCTTATGCGACACGTGCATGGTACTTGGTATTTACATCCTGAACAACACATTATGCGACACGTGCATGGTACTTGGTATTTACAATCTGAACAACACCTTATGCGACACGTGGGCTAAAGTGGCCCAAAGCTCAAACAGACATCTATAATTTAGAAATGCTGACAAGAGGGAAGACAAATAGTCCAAAACACTAACCACCTATAGGGCTATTCTTAATCGAATGGCTGGAGTGACTGTCATAGCTATAACGGCCCTTCTGCTGAAACTACGGCTCAAACCTTAAATTTTTCTAAACGCAGCCCGGTATACTAACAATTAAGCTACTCCCCTCCTCTAGGAATGCTGTTTATACCAAGAAATCAGCTAAACTTCTAACGTATATATATTAAGAAAACATTCTTAACCAGTTAAAATATATTAATATGTTTTTGGTAAGTTTGAGACTAAAGCTACTATGTATAATTAAAATTGTAAGTTTAATAAAGAAGAAAAGTCCACTAACCTTAATTTTTTACTATGCACAGTCGAGAACAAAGAACAAAATTTGAGTCGACGATTGTTTGTTTTTATAATGTGACGGTCAATCCCACTATTCGTTGGTAAAAGAGTAGCCCAAGAGTTGGCGGGGGTGGTGATGACTAGCTGCCTTCCCTCTAGTCTTACACTGCTAAATTAGGGACGGCTAGCGCAGATAGCCCTCGTGTAGCTTTGCGCGAAATTCCAAAACCGCCCCCACGGCTGAAAGGGCGAGCATGTTTGGTGGGATGCGGATTCGAACCCGCGACCCTCAGATTGTGAGTCGAGTGCCTTATCCACCTGGCCATGCCGGGCACTATTGTCTTAGTGCAAACTTCCCTTACTCTGGTCTCGTGAAACTTTCAGGGATTAATGGGTATAGCCCAGATCTCTAAGATACCCAGATGTAAAAGTTAAACAACAGGTTGAAATTAATTATACTAATACGAAGAAACTGGCCAGTAGAAGAGATTGATTTGGTTTGTTTTGTTTTCAAGCAAAGCCATTACGGGCTAGCTGCTATGTTCACTGCGGAGAATAGAACCCTGATTTTAGCTTTGTAAGTCGGCAAACTCATCGATGACCCATCGGGGGACAGTAGGGGAGACTTTCTAAGAAAGTTTGTACCAGTATTCAATAAAGTTGCATAGCGAGTGATACACCTAAACATCCTACCGACCTCGAGAAGCCAACAAAATAAATGTAAGCTATATTTTCAATGTTATTATTTATCTGTTTGTTAGAGAGGGTTGCTAATAATGATGTAATGATCGAGAGATTTTGCGAAATATCTAAAAACAAAATAATACTGATATAAATAAGAGTGACCAGTTCAGAGTAGTGAAGGAGTTAACATGTAATGAATATGAATCCTGTGAAGTATTTATTGAAGTGGTTAAATATCCAGTGAACATCTAGAGTGAGATACTCGAGTGTCAGAAAAGTTTTAGTGTTAGTAATCACGTATATTCAGTTACTCGATCAATTAGCCGTGGAATTGTATAAGTAAGTTCAGTAGTTTCAGAAATGTGTCAGAAAATGCAATACCATAAAGTTCGTTTAGTTCGAAAGTAAAATGCAATGAAATAGAAACTAATTTTACAAAAATATATTTTGGGAAAACGGATGTCTGCCTCTCAGAACTGCATTTAGCTGAGCCAACTGTTTTTCACGGTCAGCTCTACGTAGCTCTATTTCGGGTACGGTCATTCGATCGGTTAAAAATTTATGTCCCTGCAGGTGTTCACAAGGAACTTTTCTAAACAACCTTTTCCATATGAATTTGATCGCCCTTAGTTTTGAATTTGGGCACGCTCTACTAGCAGGATAATATTATTTGGGTAATCGAATGTCTGTCCGTCCATTGTGTATGAACATAAAGAAAATTTGTGTGTTTGTTGTGAAACACAAA